GCATAAATTGTAATGACTTTTGTGTCATTTCAGGCTGCAAAGCATTTGGGAGATCTTCCGATGGATCATTTCTGATTGAAGTTACCATAAACCACTTCCAGCAGAAGTTTGCATCAGATGACGTCGAGTGTATGCTGAGTGACATTCGCCGCACCATTGCGTATGGTCAAAAGTACCGATCGACCCCAGGCGCAAATGTACCATACAGACAAATGCCTTGCACGTGGTCGACACTTACCGATAAACTTTACCTTATAAGGTACCAGTGTGTGTTACAAAAATATCCTCGATAATTTTTTAAATTATTTTGCTCAATCCACATCCTTTATTATGGAAATGTTATATTAAACTGAAACAAAATAAGACACTTTTCGATTGAAAAAATTGACAAGCTGTGAATGAACTACTGAGCTCAAATAACTGTAATTTTATGTCTTTATGTATGACTGGTATCATGGAACTTCAAGTTTTATAAACTTCTAATTGTTTTCCTTGTAGTGCACCTGATGTATTCAATTTATCCTGACTAGCGTTTGACATGATTTGACAGTTTGAGAAAAAATGAACCAACATAAATTGTTTAAAACATTTTTTGGTCACGGAATGCTAATAGAAAACTGATCTTTCCTATCTGTGATTGTTGGTCGATCACGGTTTTCAGACTCAGCACTGATATTTTATTCGCAAGTAATTCAGAAATTTAGATATATCAAAAGCGTGCATTTTTTTTTACATAAATGCCGTCGCTAATACAACCTAAATGCACATTAATTGTTTCACAACATTCCAATTCCGCACATAACAATTGTAAATATAGTTTTGTACATTTAATTCTAATGTTATTGATGCTGCATGTGTACTGGGTCGTCATGAAAAACATAGTTTTTGAGTTCAAATTGCAGTTAAGGTGTCATGTGATATTGTTTTTATTTTTAGGTCACCTGAGTCAGTCAGGTGACCTATTACGATCGCCTTCTTCCTATGATCATGCGTTGTCTGCCGTGTATCAATCAGTATCCACAATTTGGGATGGGAGAGGGGAGTGTGTGTGTGTGTGTGTGTGTGTGTGGG